TATTGGTGAAAATTGATCGCAATTGATCAAATCCAATCATTCGGCCGCGTTCAGTGTCAATATATATTTCACACTATTCTTTTGAACTTTGAAAAAAAAAAAAAAAAATGTTATGAATTGTGCAAGTCGTATCGAATTTCTTCACACGGAATTTTCTTATTTGCCTTTCCGAACGATTATAATAACTTTAAATTAGCGCTACAGCACGTAAACTTAGCGTGACTCCAACGAAATAATTTATGTAATTCGTGAACGCTTTCTATAGCATAATAAATTTATACTTTTTGAAAAATTCAAACCTAATATGTGGATGACATAACCTCAGAACAAGCAAACGAATGTGAACATAATAATTATGGAATTCTATTCGTTAGTATGAAAACTCTTCATTTTCACATTCGAGATAGGTATGTTATGTAAGCTTGTGCAACAGGACCCTTCTGGTGTGAATATGAAACTTGATAAGTTCAAGCGGCTATGTTTGTTTTCTTCTTCGATTGCGTAAAGTCCAAATATATTAATTTAGTTCGCAAATGAATAACGCAAAGAAAGGAACATTATAACGGGTCACTGGTCCACCATTAAATATCCTAGACTACCTTACGGATACAAGGCGTTATATGAGAAGTGAGTGGAAAAAGTGATACGAGCCAACCCATTTTCAAAACATCTGTCAAATTTTATCGAAATACGTCAAAAGTTGCGATCTATAGGTTAAATACAAGATAGGCAGACAATATTAAAAGCGATTGAGAAAGTGATTCTGATGAATCGATCGGTATAACGTGGATCTATCTCAAGTTCTTTTGTGTATTGAATGTATTTGGGCAAATTTAATATAGCCTTTTACCACAAATGGTGTAAGGTACAAAAAGCTTCATTAAGGAGAATACTTGAAAATATTGAAATTAATCCGTAACGTGGAAGAGATATGGGCTTAAAATCAATCGCAATTATCGTAACGCTTGCTTTCAAAACTGTCCCGGAATCTCTGCAATGTTTACATAAGCGTTTTCATAACCGTTTAGTTGGAAGGATTGGATGTATGCGTGGTCCAAATGATCGAATTTTATTCATAAAATTTGTATTCACGCACACACACCGTAGCAAAGCAAAATTCGCTTTCACTTCTGACAAAAGTGAATCTTTGTTTGCAGCAACGAATCTTCAATCTTTACCTCTCTTAAGAGTAATCCAATCCTCTCATCTTTTTTTAACAGTGCTGCTGCTGCTGCTGCTGCTGTAAATATGTCTTGAAGAGAAAAAAACAAATTTGAAACTAAAAGACAATTTTAGTAATTTTAATACGTTTCCTTTACAGGTGTTTGGTCGTTTACCTCAGTTTCAATTTTTCAATTACTTTTCTATTTTTCATCTATTGTTCAAAATTTATGTAATTGAAATTGAAGCTTTACTAGCAACTTAGAACAAGACAAAAAGATGAAAAACCTTTTATTCAAATTATTCTTCATTAAAACGTTAAAGATTATCTGATAAAAACAAAAAGAAAAGTCTTTCATGACTTAGATATTATCTAACTTTGTAGGAGCGTGTATATAACAAGCGCACTTGTATTCCCTGTTAATGCCTTAGATACTGATGCAAGACAAATTCTCCCTACCCTATGTTAATATCTAAAGAAGAAGATCTAACAAGTGGTTAAATATCTATATACAGAAATCTTTTTATGCATACACGTGTATGCATGTACGGCATACTTTGTGTTTTATTGTCGTATCTTTGGATCTATGTTTGTAAATGTATGCAATGTGTATGCATTAAACCGTTTCTTTCATTATAAGTATGAAAAGAATATTAATGCTGTTCTAGTTTTTCGTTCAAGTTTCCACATATTTTTTATATTCTTTTTTTTTTTTTTCTTTTTTTTTCGACAATTGTGGTTTTTAGCTCATGACATTGTTTACTTAAGAGACTTTTATGCATACACATGCAGTAATGTTTACTTTTATGTACGGGAATGTTGCGCATACATGTAAATGTATATATATATATATATATATATATATATATATATGTTATAATTCAAACGTAAATACACTCGCAAATGTACATACACTACATACATGTGCATAACGCATTTGTGCTACGTTGTCAAATGCAATCGAAAAACGTAGGATTCCATCATTCATTCAATATTGCTAAGGATGAATTTGAAATTCAACTTAAACTTAAACATATATTCTGCGAAAATTACTTTGCCCAGCATATCTATCTATTATCAGCTCATAGGATCTTAAATCAAACTCCAAAACCAAGTACGAATGATATATTTAGCGAGGACCGCAACTCGCATACACGCACCGCTATACTTTTCGCATTGTACTCTTCAAGTTGTTTTATTTAATACCCATATCGCTGGTAATCGTGATGTCTACCGCATTCACTTTATAATTAAGCCATTTTTAGGCAGATAATATATCTTCTCTTGAGGAATACATATACAAAATAGTTTCAATAGCATTCTGTCTTGTTTGCGTTATAATAAATGAGCATAAAATTTGCAAAAAAGTGAAACAAAATAAAATTGAATCAATTGTAACTTTCCGTGGGCATGGCCGATTTCCCCCCCCCCACCCCCCCATTTTTGCATATAAATTGTGGACTGCTTCGTAAAGTAAATCCCACAAATTTGTAAAGTTTATGTAATTAAAAGAAAAAAAAAAAAAAAAAAAAAAACAAGTGAAACAAGTAAGAGAAAGATTAAAAGAAAAGAAAAAAAACGACATTTTCATATTCTGCAATATTGGGTGGGTGCGGTCGGTCTTTCCTATTTTTACAATAAAAGTGAAAGTTTATATCGCGAATGTGATGGACTTTATGAGTAAACAAGCAATAAAAGGGATAGCAAAAGATGTTGACAGTTTTTGTTGCAAAACGTAAGTGGGCATTGTAGGCGTGTTCATTGGAAAACATTGTAGCAAATTTGGAGGCAAAATTTCGCCATTTTTGCGCGATGGCAGCATGTTTACCACAGGTATTATTCGCCCGGACAGATC